GTTCTCATTTAATTAAATCTGCTCTCAACATAAACAAATGAGAAATTATAATTTTAATCTGAAAAGGCAGAACCAGGGAATTTTGGAGATGAAGATAGAAATTATCTGAATCCAGGCCCTCATTTTGTAGATGAAGAAACTGAGAGACAAGAGTCAAGCAATTTGCCCAAAACCAAAGACTATCTATTTACCTGCAGAGCCTGGACTGGAAGCCATGTTCTGGATTTCCAGGCTAACTGGCTCCACGGTGCCGTACTAGCTCCCAGACTGAGACTGGTCTTTCTTTTGGCAGATTTATCTTTTTTGAACCTTAGCAATAATAGGAACCAAAAAATGCATTACAGATCATTCCTCAGTGGGCTTGCAAATGTTCATTTTATTAACAGCAACCCGTATTTCAAGAATACCTTCAGGAACCAAAAAAGAAACTCCTTTTCAGGGCAAAAGATCATCCCTTTTACAGAAAGAGGTAGTGCACTACTTCCAAGGGTACATAGGATATTTGGTGCTTTACAATTTTATGTCTAATAATAAACCGTCATTTAAGTCTTAGACTTACACACAACAAGCTCCCAGCTCATGTCAACCAACATTCAATATCACTTGCAATATTGCATGTTGCAAAAGAAACAGAATTGTCTTTACTCTGGGATCCCATATCCTTTCCTCTCAAACACTGATGACTCAGCCTGCTCCAATATGCTTTTTGCTACCATCACTGCGCTGAAACAGCCTTACTAAGGTTAACAGTGAATTATCAGTAAGTGCAATGGCTACTCTTCTGTACACATCTACCTTCACCTTCTCAGTAGTAGTGTCACATTTGTCCACCCTCTCCCATTACATTATCCTTGTTTTCCTCCTACCTTTTTTTCTTCCTTCTCAGAATTCTATTCCTCCACCAACACCTTGGAGTTCTTCAAGGCTCAGTTGTAAACTGTCTTCTTGCTTTATATGAGCCTCCTGGGCAAGCCCATCCTAATCTGTTTACTTCAGTAACAGGAATACTCTGAACTCCCCACAGATTATCCCCACTCCAACTAAAAAACTTCCTGACTTCCAGATCTGTGTATCTGATTATTTAACATTTTTAACTGGATGTCTCAAAGACATCTCAAAATCAAGATGGCTATGCACGGTCTCATAATCTTCCTCCTTCCCATGCCACACCTCATCTTGTGTTTATTCCACAGAATGGCACCATTCTCTCTTCAGCTACGCCAATCAGTCACATATGATTCCTGACTTTACCTACTCAGTGCCCTCCCTTTTCAATCCATCTCAAGCCCAGTTGATGGCACCGATTAAATTCTCTTGGATCTGTTCCCTTCTATCATCTCACCACCTTTCCTCCCTCTCAAGCTATCACATCTCTGCACGCTGTCTCCCAGCTGGTCTCACAGCATCCCTCTGGTTCTCCTCCATTAGTTTCAAAACAAAGGGGCTGTCTGCGAAAAAACTCAGAACACTCCCCATTGCTTGTACTAGATTCCTAACATAGCCTGAAATGTGTCCCATGGTCTGAGGCCGGCCTTCCTTTCCAGTCTCATGTTGCACCTTCCCTCCCCTCCTTGAAATGCAGCCTCTATATTCCATCTTGTTTGCAGTTCTTTAGACTCATTATAATTCCACCGACCAATGAGTCTTTGTACGTGCTTTCCCTTTTTACCAGAATGCAATCCCCTCCCTTTACTTACCGAACTTCCATAAATTCATCACATCTCATCTCAGTCATCTTTTCTTCATGGACACCTTCACAGACAGCCAATCTTGGGCCAGATTCTTGCTATATGCTCTAGAGAACTAGATTTTTAGCATTTACCTGTACTTGTAATAATAAACTCACTTTGTTTTTTAATGTCTATCTTTTCTGCTAGATAGATGTTTAAGATCATAGGGAATATAGGACTGTTTTCGCATCAAAGGACTATCTTTGCATAGTGCCTCGTAGAGTACCTGACACATAACATGTGTTCAATAAACTTCTGCCAAGTGAATGAAATGATCATCATATTCCTGAGGTTAGCAAGTATAGTCCTGTTCAAATTTGGAAATAGAAATGCAAAACAATATATCTAATAAATCTGGTCTCCATTCTTTTAATCAGACTTTCACCTTTGGCCATTTTGTACACTAATTCACCCAACAACTATTTACTGATGGAGTCAACGTGCAGTGCCTGATTAATGCTGTTGATTTTAAATAAATTAAAAAGACAACCACAATTTTAAAACGTCAAGGTTTAAAAAAGCATTTTAAAAATGAATCAGAAGACTTGTCTCATTTCAGAGACAGATTTCTCCTTTAGGTTATTTAAGATTTTATTTTTAAGTAATGTTTATACCCAACGTGGGGCTCGAACCCACAAACTCAAGATCAGGAGTTGCATGCTCCACCAACTGAGTCAGTCAGAAACCCCTGTGTTATTTTAAAATTTTGTTTTGTTAGCTTCTGCATTTTTGGGAGCTGGAAAGGCCAGCATTACCAATGCATATACATACGGATGTCATCCTTCTTCCACTGGTTCTAGTAACATGAAAGTAAAAATAACAGGTTCTCTTTATTTGTACCAGTTAAAGCTGAAGTTCAGGGGCGCCTGGGTGGTTCAGTCGGTTAAGCATCTGACTTCGGCTCAGGTCATGATCTCATGGTTCATGGGTTCGAGCCCTACGTCGGGCTCTGTGCTGATAGCTAGCTCAGAGCCTGGAGCCTGCTTCAGATTCTGTGTCTCTCTCTGACCTTCCCCTGTTTATGCTGTCTCTCTCTGACTCTCAAAAATAAATAAAAAAAATAAATAAAAATAAAGAATAAAGCTGAAGTTCAGCCATTTAACATAAGATTAAAAACAAGAGATTAAAAACTCTGTAACAAAAGGACAGTGGGTGTCCATCCATAGCGCTGTGTTTCTGGTTTGCTTCTGTGGTTGGGCCTGCTCATTTCCCCAGGAATTTCCCTTTCAGTGGGAAGATCATCTTCAGAGCAAAAAATGTTTATCAGACTCTAGTTCGAGTAGTACATATTTTATTCACTTCTCTATACCCAATCTCGCACCAACCTTCTCATTGCATTCCTACAGACATCAGTCATTTATTATAGCCCTCGCCCGACATTTATTATACCCCAAGTATTTACAATGAAAAAGAATTTGCATATAGCATAAATCAACTCAGCCGTCAGTGTACAGAAGACACAGAATCCTCCTAGCGCTGAAATATTTCCCCCCAGCTTTGTGGAAATAATTATATGTTGATTTGAATACACACAGAGAACATTTCTTAGACAAATATAATGCCTGAGGCTCATCTGGTAAGACAAATTGCTTTGTAATTCTTAGCACAATAAAATATATCTTTAGAAAGTGGGAAGAACCAAAGAATGTTCTTTACTTATTATTTATTTATTTTTTAGACAGAGAGAGAGAGAGCGCGTGAGCTGGGGGGAGGGGCAGAGGGAGAGAGAGACTCTCAAGCAGACTCCACACTCAGCGCAGAGCCCAACAGAGGGCTTGATCCCAAGACCCTGGGATCATGAACTGAGCTGCAATCAAGAGTCAATGCCCAACCGACTGAGCCACCAAGGTGCCCCAGAACCAAAGACTACTTAAAACAAAAACAGAAAATCATATGTACTAGTCACACAACAGATGGACTGATAAACTAAAATTCTGTCAAAATAGATTTTCTGTGAGGCTTTTCATTTCAAACAGGACAGGAAAAAAAAACATTAAAAGGTACACTTTATACACGTGGCTCTTTGTCCTCTTAAGAGTTCTTTTTTCATTCAAAGTTTATAAGTAATATTTTTAAAAACAACTATTTATTACAAGAGGGGTTATCTGTCTTAGTCAATTTATTATGAGAAGCTATCAACGACAGTTTTTAGCCCTCCAATGTCCAGAAGCTGGAAGGCAGAAAGACACTTTGCAAGTAAATATGTGGCACTCTATTTCCTTAAGTGGAAATCCTGTACTTCCCTGTAACCTTATTTAAAAAAAAAAAAACAAAAAAAACGTTAAAAACTAATAGAACTGGTTAAATATTTATTATTCTACTACTTTTCTTTAAAAATCTTTCCTCATATTTTCATCAAGTTTCTGCAGAATGTTTGGATAGTATTTGCCCTGACTTGTTGCATGAAAATTTTCCTCAGCCACTGTAGAAAGACTGAACACAGTTCACTGCAAACCCTTCAATGCCAGAGGAAGCTCTACAGATGCCTCCAATGTGGGTAGTAGGGAGTGACAGCAGGAAGGGGGTGTTAGGAAATTACCAACATGAGAGGCTCAAAGAGACCAGGAGAATGGGATAAGACACCTGCTCAATTCCATCTAGAGTCTTCTCTTTGGACTACTTCAACATGGAGCTATTCTGTTTTTTAACTTCACATAGCGTTCCTAGCGTTCACGAGAGCTCAGAGATAAGAGGATACCGGCAGCAACTGTAGTTTTCTGGATACCATATAACTTCTCATATCAGTTTTCCATCAGGAATATGGTACTTTTAGAATTGGATTGTCTCGTGGTCTTCTTTCTTATACTTTGTTTTTTACAGATGATATTTCATTTCTTTTCTTTTAAAAATGCTTTATTTATTTTTGAGAGAGAGATAGAGACAGCATGAGCTGGGGAGGGTCAGAGAGAGAGGGTGACACAGAATCCAAAGACAGGCTCCAGGCTCTGAGCTGTCAGCACAGAGCCCGACATGGGGCTCGAACCTACAAACCGTGAGATCATGACCTGAGCTGAAGTCGGACGCTCAACCGACTGAGCCACCCAAGCACCCCATGATATTTCATTTCTGTAAGTTAAATAATCAGGAAGTTATACTAAACCAGCTAAAACAGGAATGCTAGATTTAACTTCCGACTTGAATACTTTGGCTGAAATTATAAAAGAGCTCACACTGTGGGCCACCCCTGAGCAAGGAGAGGAGTCCTCTGTGTCTTAGAAGGGCTGGAACACTTAAAAACCGTGACACATCTGTAGCACAGTGATATGGATGTCTTTGTAACTATTACAGAACTTTAATTTCATGTATTTCATTTGGTATAACCAAACCATGCTATAGACTTCGTATTATCTATCTTTGAAAGGAAGCATGGGCCATTGGTTTAGAGGTATTCTAAAAGAGAAAGCTGTATTTATCAACAAAGTTTCCTTTGTGTTTCTTCTTGTAAACCATCATTCAACAAATTGGGCAATATAATTTTTCTTCTTCTTTGAAAGTAACTTGCACAGTTAACATCTTTGATCTTCTTGGGATGGCTTTCTTTTCTCCACCGAAACCCAATTAAGGACGCTGTACCAATTTACTCTTACCTCCTTCCTGTTCGCTGAGTTTAAAATGGGTATAAGCGAGAATGCCAAATAACGTGCATAACATGCCAAGACCCTGATTAATTGACAATGGGTCCTTAAATAAAACATATCCTCCAAATAAAGTAATGCAGAACTTGAAGTGTCCAAACATGTTATAGCTGAGGTTTGTGGATAAGGATAAAAACCCCGACAAGCCAGCCTGTTCTAGTCACACTCACAACACACACACACACACACACACACACAGAGAAGGAAAAACAAGCTAGATGTCATATTCGCACACACGCATGTACATACATACGAAGCAAAGCCTTCCTGCGGCTAGAAGACCCTTGTGGAGCATGGACTGAATTGGCCCCCCAATCTGAGAAACAAGAACTTCGGTCTGGATCAGTCCTTCGGTAGGCTTCAGCAACAGTGACAGGGTGCTGCTCAACCCTCCCTCTCCCTCTCCCCAAAGAAGACAAAAGGGGCTATACAGTAAGGTTGCAAAAGGAATTCAGAACAAGGTACAGAGAAGATATTTTGCCGAGCCATTTATATTTTATAGTGCTATTTCTAATAAACCTCCCTTGGCAAACAAATGAGGGGAGATGTGTGTGGCCCCAGAGACCAGACTCAAGGTAGACACATCCAGTACGCCTCAGTTTAGGAGGGAAACAGAGATGGTACAGGGCGTAAGACAGAGCACCAATGACATGCTAGGCGCTATGCTAGATGTGTGGGTCACCCCACTGTATTAAGCATGACATTTACCTTCACCACAGTATCACTCTTCCTGTCCTACAACTGTCGGGGCTCATGGATTTCAAGTAACTTAGATCGCAGAGTTAGTAAGAGGCAGAGCTGCAGTCCAAACATGGATGGGTCGATTTAACTCCAAGTCCATGTTCTAGTCTGGTGCGTGGCCAGCAGTAAAGTGCTGCTGGATTAGGGGTTTCCAAATCACTGTTCTTAAAAAACAAATTAAACACATGTACCTCACTCCTTTAAGAGTTATTCTTACTGTATTTTATGTTTGTTTTTTCCACATAAATGAGGACTTCACTATTTTTTCAGATGTTTGATGGGTACCCAGCGACTCTTCCAGTAACGCTAACAGAAGAGCTATAACGCCATAGACGTTATTCCCCTCGCCCCCCCCCCCCCCCCCCCCCCCCCCCCCGGTTCCCGAGAGGGCAGTGACAGCGGACAGCGCTCACAACCGGCTCAGGCGCACAGGGAACGGTGGGTGGGCCACTGGGCCTGGGTCTGTCTGACCTCAAAACCTGGGCTCTGGTCCCCGATGTGGGGCCAGCCAAGCAGCCTAGAATCTCGTTCCGGGCAGGAGGACATAGGCTGTGTCACCAGAGTGCCCGCCTGCACCACTAGAAGTGATTTCCTGAAAGGCAGAGGGTCTTCCCCAGGACATTACTTGTAACCACCACAAGACATGCTTCGTTTCCCATTATGAGCCATTTCAAAGTGCGCTGGCTCTAACACGTCAGTGTTGCCTTACTCCTCAGCCTCTCTTTTTAAGGCGTTCGTGATCTGTGGAAGATGTTTATACTAGAGGGGAGGCAAATTTAAAGACATTCTCCTGTGAGGTAAAACAAAACAAAACAAAACAAAACAAATACATTAAATTAAATAAAAAAGGAACGGTGGATACCTGGTATTTCTGATTCCCTTCTCTGATTGTCCTCTGTTCTAGTCGGGCCTTCATCTTGACACTCAGAAAGCTCTCGTCAGAACATCCGGGTCCCCACCTTACCAAGCCCTTCCTCAATTCCCAGCCTGCCCTGACTTAACCTGCCAGCATGGCTGAACCCTTCTCCTCTCCTGGGGTCTGAATCACTTCCCTCCCCTCCCTCAGTCACTCCTCCTCAGCCTCTGCTGCCAGCTCCTCTCACGTGTGAAGGAGTAAATGCTGACCTGACCAGGGACTCCATCTCTGGGCAGCTCTTCTTCTACCTGTTTCTTTGGTAATCTCAACCAGCCCCACTGCTTTACACATCTACACACAACACACAACTATGTCTGGAATATATGCGTCTGAGAACCTCGATCCTGAACCTCTCAGACTTGCTCTACTCACAAGTCCCTACCCCAGAGCTTCCTTTGGGCTGTCCTATTTCAGTTGATGGCAGCGCCATCGCCATTCTACCAGGTACTCAGGCCAAAACCATGTGAGCCAACCTGCTGCCTCTCCTATTGTCCACATCCAATTTGTCAGCAAAACCTATTGGTGCCACTTGAAAATATACCCAGAATCTGATCACTTCTCACCATATGCACTGCTTTCATCCTGGCACCAAACCACCATTATTTCTTCAGACTCTCTCTTGCGTCTTTTAGTGTAGTGGTTCTCGACCAGGGTGATTTTGCCACCAGAAAGGTCCGGACACATTTTTGGCCATCATACTTGGGGAAAAGAGAAGCTACTGGCATCTAGTGGATAGAAGCCAGGATGCTGCTAACCATCCTACAACGTGTAGGAAAGGCCTCTGCCACAGAGGACTGTCGAGCCCCCAAGGTCAACAACACTGATGTTGAAAAACCTTGCTTCAGTCTGTTATCAACACAGCCTCCCAGACTGATTCTATTAGAATGTAAGTATAATCATGTCATTTTTCTGCTCCAAGCCCCAAAGGCTTCCCATCTCACCTGGAGCCTCGGTCTGTATGTAAAAGCTCTGCTCAGCCGGGCGCCCTGTTCTTCTCAGAGCCTTACTATTCTCCGCCCTGTACTCTCCCTGCTGCAACTCTACAAGGCTTCCTTGTTTCCCCAGGGCCTCTCACTGCCTGAACGCTCTTCATCCCAATCTGCATGGGGCGACGTCATTTCCTTCAGGTCTTCACTTACAAATTCCCTTTCTGTGAATGCCTTCCTGACTACCCCCTCCCAGGCTTCAACCCAGGCCCCAGCATTTAGGATCCTCTTTCTGGCTCTACATTTTCTCCTCGGCACTTAGCACTATCTAACACTGTATATGTGTCTGTTAAATATTTTCTTGTTTATAGTCTTCCTCGCCATGATTGAAACCTGTGAGAACAAAGGTTTTTGTCTATTTGGTTCACCATTATATCCCCAGTGCCGAGCATAGTGTAGATATACATTATGTAAATACTTATTAAGTCAATGCACGATTTACAGTGGATTGTTCAATAAATATTTGCTAAATGAATGAATGTTCTTAACCAGGGCACATCATCAAATGCCTTGATTTGGCAGCATGGTGTGCACAAGTTCTGGGACTAGACTGCCATAGGTTCAAATCTGGATACTACACATAGGACTGTAAGTGAGTTACTTAACCTCTCTGCACTTCTGTTCCCTCCTCTGCAAAATAAAATGATAGAATTTACCTCACAGAGCTGCTCTTAGAGTTTGATGCCTAATACACCTTAGGTGTTTCTTTCTAATAGCACCTGGTGCAAACAAAATATTTATTTAGTGTTGGTTCTTTAAAATATTATTCTTGGGGGACGCCTGGGTGGCTCAGTCAGTTAAGCATCTGACTTCGGCTCAGGTCATGATCTTGCGGTCTGTGGGTTCGAGCCCCGCATCGGGCTCTGTGCTGACAGCTCAGAGCCTGGAGCCTGTTTCAGATTCTGTGTCTCCCTCTCTCTCTGACCCTCCCCTGCTCATACTCTGTCTCTCTCTGTCTCAAAAATAAATAAACGTTTAAAAAAATTTTTTAAATAATAATAAAATATTATTCTTGGGGCGCCTGGGAGGCTCAGTCAATTGAGGATCTGACTTTGGTTCAGGTCATGATCTCACGGTTCATGAGTTCGAGTCCCGCATCAGGCTCTCTACTATCAGGGCAGACGCCACTTCGGATCCTCTGTCTCCCTCTGTCTCTGCACCTCCCTTGGTAGCACACTCTCAAAAAAAAAAAATAAAACATTAAAATAAAAATAAAAATATTATTCTTATTATAACTTGTTGGTATTTATTGATAGTTGGCAAATATGTCGCCTTTTTACTTTGCTGGGATCTCAGTGTTCACTCATTTAAATAAATCAACATATTCGGATATAATGTTACTAAATTACTTCTCATTTGGGGAAATCCTTTTTTCTTTCTTTCAGTGCATTGTTTTTTAATACTTTTTAAAAGTTTATTTATTGAGAGAGAGAGAGAGAGAAAGAGAGGGAGGGAGGGAGGGAGGGAGGGAGGGAGGGAGGGAATCCTAAACCGGCTCCGACTGTCAGTGCAGAACTTGACATGGGGCTTGAACTTACAAACTATGATTTCATGACCTGAGCAGAACTCAAGAGTCAGATGCTTAACCAATGGAGTGACCCAGGTGCCCCTGGGAAATCCTTTGCATTTGCTTAAGAGTGGAGGCAGGGAGGGGCGCCTAGGGTGCTCAGTAGGTTGAGCAGCTGACTTCAGATCAGGTCATGATCTTGCGGTCTGTGGCTTAGAGCCCCGTGCGGGCCTCTGTGCTGACAGCTCAGAGCCTGGAGCCTGTTTCCAATTCTGTGTCTCCCTCTCTCTCTGCCCCTCCCCTGCTTGTTCTCTGTCTCTGTCTCTCTCTCAAAACTAATAAACATTAAAAAAAAAGAAAAGAGTGGAGGCAGAGATAAATGAGAAGAGAAACAGAACAAGCAAAATGCTAATCATTCAGATTCATTTCTTCAAGGCCTGTTTCATTTCTTGATTGAAAGTAATATTGAGAAAAATAGGTACACCAATATCCAAATAAATACAAAAGCATGTACAAGAGTCGTATGTCAATGGTCAGAAATTATTTTTTGTTTTTGGATTAGATGTACCCCTACTTTATTACTATAAAGTAATTTTAAACCCTGGTGTCCACTCCATTATTCACTCAACAAATATTTATTTAACTCCACTATGTGCAAGGATTGGTGCTCTATGTTAATTTTGATAAGGGAAAAGGTCATTTACTACTTAAGAAAATTTAAAAGCATTCATGATACCGAAAACTAACACATTTTCCTAGCTCACATTTCTTTAAGTTTCCATAGAGTCTAGAGTGGAAAGATACAGTAAAGACTAAAGATAAGTCTATCTACTCAAAGGAGGCCACGCAATAGTTAGTGCAAGACTCCTAGAAGGAAATGTATGTGACAGTTATAGAAAATATAAGATGATTCATTTGTAAGTTACTAGGAAAAGGATACGTGACTGGTGAAGTGTTCCCAATGATCCAATAAATTGATAAGTTCACCATGAAAGCTATTACTCCAGACAGCAGCACCATAAGCTACAAACAAACCCACAGAATCATTAATGTAAAGCAGTTGCAATCATTACAGTCATCAAGTAAAAATACATTTGATTAGGCATTTCTAAAAATGTAAATAACAACCATTAAGAACAAGATTTTTAGAAGAATCCATTAGGGACACAAGAATTGAGGGTAAAAGAGCAGAATGAATAGTATTCAGAAATGCAATTTTGTCTACAAAATGCAATGAAAAATTCAACAACAACATCCTGCCTCTGAATGTGAACTTCCAGGTTCATTCTTCTTATCCATCTAAAGAAAAATTATTCTGTAATAATTTCTAGTTATAAAAGTAATACATACTCCTTATAGAAAAATCAGAAAACAAAGATAAGCAAAAAGCATATAAGGACTTCTTATAATCCCCACTGTTAATACCTTTACACATATCCTTTCCAGAGTTTTTTCAAATGAATTGCTCATATATAATCTTATTTAAATTAAATCAATAAGAATCCACTGGCTATCTATAAAGCTAGGCCATACCTTCTGAGGAAGAGAGTAGGGTCTTGTCCTCAAGGGGCTTAAAAACCACTTCAGGGCATAATAAAAATCGTGATAGTCATAGCTTACACTTACATAGTACTCACTATATGCCAAGAATTGTCCTAAATGTTTTACATGTACTAATTCATTTAATCCTCACAAATGCTCATGAGGTAGTGAAATACTCTCCCTTTTTCTAGGTGAGCACAGAGAGGAAAAGTGATTTGTCTTCTATCACACAGTGGCAGGGCTGAGATTTAAGCCCAGGGCAGCCTGATTCTGAAGTCTCTGTAGGTCACTGACTCTATGCTACCTCTCTCTCTAACCACATCAAAGAGAGTGAGCTCAGGAAACAGAAAAAAGAGTCTCGAGCCTGCCAGGCAAACATACAACAGGTTTTATATGAATCTCTAGGCAGGAGATGTCATTTGGGGCTGGGATAGGGAATGACTGTTTGGATCTTAAACATATGTACAGATTCGAGGAAGAAGCAGCGGTGGGGTTCCAAGCAGAGGGAACAGTAGGGGCCAAGGCACAGAGGCATGAGAACACAAGGCTGTGCATGGGATGTGAATAAGCCAACCTGGCTGAGGACAGGGGACAGAGTGGCTGTACCATGTCTGCACATAGGACATCTGTCCAAACACTTCCCACAATTGTATTTAAAAAGTTATAAAGTCATTTTCTATTTCTAAAATAACAGAATTTAGATAAAATATTAGTTATGGGGCACCTGGGTGGCTAAGTCCATTAAGTTTCTGACTTCAGCTCAGGTCGTGATCTCACGGTTTGAGAGTTCGAGCCACATGTTGGGCCCTATGCTGACGGCTCAGAGCCTGGAACCTGCTTCACCTTCTGTGTCTCCCTCTCTCTCTGCCCTTTCCTGTTGCACATTCTCTCTCTCTCCCTCTCTCAAAAATAAACATTAAAAATTTTTTAAAAAGTATTAGTTATGAGGCCACTGCCTTATCCATTTGGCTACAGGGGCTTCTTAAAAACCCCTTCTAGAAATATACTATTGTTAATTTTATTGAGTTGAAGGTTACATACATAATTCCTGATGACTTGGCATATCATTAAAAACACAACTACATGCTTTACTTTGAGGCAATGATGCCCTCTAGGGACATTAAGGAATGAAAGTGACTGTTTCATATTAAATGGACTGCGACTGCTATGGTCTTAGTTCCTCTGACTTTTGGGGAGGGGGAGCTTTCTGCTGCTTTTCTCTGTTTTGAATCGGTCAGAGGGTCTACTGCATAAAGCCCCCTCCTTCTAGTTTAAGGTCTCTAAGCTGCACTAAATTTGAAGACCAGGTAACCAAGATGGCTAGAAATAAATTAAAAGGAAATATTATTTGAGAGATGGTCAAGGGATTTCTACTGTGGAAGAAAGGTTATATGCCAAAGTCTACGCATTGAAACAACCAGTATTCTGCTCACAGGGAGCACAGCAGAGCACTTAAGAAGAGGGGTTCTTGGGGCACCTGGGTGGCTCAGTTGGTTGAGTGTCTGACTTCGGCTCAGGTCATGATCTCACAGTTCATGAGTTCAAGTCCCACGCGGGGCTCTGTGCTGAACGCTTGCTCAGAGCCTGGAGCCTGCTTTGGATTCTGTGTCTCCTTCTCTCTCTGCCACTGCCCCACTCACACTGTCTCATTCTCTCAAAAATTAAAAAATTAAATTAAACAACAACAAAAAAAGAATAGAGGTCCCGGAGCTAGCATGCCTGGACTCCAGCTCTGCCTCAGCTTACTGGCTGGGGGATCGTGAATCAACAGCTTAACTCTGTCCCTCAGCTTCTTCATTGTATATCCAAAATATGAGGAGAATAATAGTATCCACCTAATAAAGTAGAATTAAAAAGCAAAATGTGAGGATTAAATAAGTTAATATTTGCAAAGTGTTGGACTACTTCTTGGAACAGAGTAAGGGCTATCCAAGCTTGATAAGTTACCAGCACCAACAAACAAGACTTTTCCACTGACGGCATTCCAAAGGTTCAAGTTGGGGGAGGCAGAAATTCCTTCCCTAAGCAGGGGGATCATACTTTCTAACTTAAAATGTCCCCAAAGTACATATCCCTTTGATCTGGCAGTTCTACTCTTGGGACTCCATTCCAAAGGGAAAAAGTACCAGCTCCTAAAGACATATGTATAAGGATGTTTACTACAACACTGTTCAGAGTGGTCAAGAACTAGATCTATTTTACAGACCCTGAAAAGAATGAGCTGGAGAGATCTGCATGAGATATTAAGTAAGAAAAGCAAGATACAGAAAATTATTTATGTTACAATCCCACTTTTGTAAATGAAATGTGTAATTTACATTGATACAGGTATACGCATATTGTGTTTACATGGGTGTGTACGGCACAGAGAAAAATATATAAGAACACACATGAGAATGTTAATAGGACTCACCTCAAGGGGCAGAGACCAGGAACGAAATGCAGAATGTATATGGGGAGGAGGGCTGGGGAGAAGGAATCCATGGTAACCATGTATATAAACACACACACACACACACACAGTACCTGGGTTTCTTCATCTGAAAAATAATCCTTAGCTTGCTTCCCTTAAAGGGTGATTATACAGATAAATGTGAGAGCGGATCTGAGCTCATGCTCTGAAACCTGAAAATCACACTTACTAGCAGAGGGAGGATTATTTTGTTTCTTAGGCACCATGACAATTAGAACTTACCAAAGCAGAAACTGACCAGGGGCCAAATATTCCTCCTTCTCCAAACACAGGCTCAAAGAAGGGCACGGCCACCAGCAACATGGCGGAGGACATCGGAGCCTGGTAGTACAAGAGTTGCATCGAGTTCACTTGCAATTCATGCTGTTTGGCTCCTACCCACTGAAAATTAGGAGATGAAACAAGTTAGATAGAAAAACGTAGCATCACTTAGTAAACAAAAGATACAACTCTAGTCACAGGGATGGGGATGCGGAGCCCCGAGGAAGAGGAAAGAAACCCCTGATTGTTCTACTTGACGCCAAAGATCATTATATATACAAATGTCCTTTAAGCACCTTGGATGAAAGGAGCTTTATAAATTCAATATGTGACGGGGTGTCTAGGCAGCTCCATCAGTTAAGTGTGTGACTTCGGCTCAGGTCATGATCTCACGGTTCGTGGATTCAAGCCCCGTGTCGGGCTCTGTGCTGACAGCTCAGAGCCTGGAGCCTGTTTCAGATTCTGCGTCTCCCTCGCTTTCTGCCCCTTCCCCACTCATGTTCTGTCTGTCTATCTGTCTCTCTCTCTCTCTCTCTCAAAAATAAATAAACATTAAAAAATTAAAAAAAATTCAACATGTAACAATCTATTTTCTTCTCAGTTTTGAAGAGAAAAAATTCTCTCTTCCCTGCCAACCCTAGTACATGGGGGAAAGTCAATATAATTCATGCAGGGGCCCAGGAGTATCAGAGATCTTGGGAAAGAGACAGGAATGGAGATTTAGGTGAGAAGCAGGAACTGAGATGCAGTGTTAGACTTCACTTCTTTCTAAAACTGGCCCCCCGAGAAAAGACTGGACGGGCAGGGCACACTACTTAGGGCTTGCCAGGTACCTCAGCGGTCCCAGGCGGCTGCCAGTGTTGTAGCTAGAAAAGTATGTGAAGTCTTTTCATCCACTTTCGAAAACCACTGAATGGCAGAAGGAATTTTCCTCTTTATGACTGATCTTTCTGTGGGTAACCCCCCAGTGATACACTTGAAGAAATTAGATAGTCACAAACCCTGTTCAAAGACTACATCATTCAGGAGAACCAACACCTCGAAACCTCAAATCCCATCAGCCCTCAAAATGTTTCACAAATATGACTAAAAAGGAGGCTTTCAAGAAAGCTTGACAGGACCGTTTGAATCAGATCTGGCGAAGAACAGCCAGGCTTCTGAATAACTGCTCCTACAGAATTCTTTTTCCTGCAGATCTGGGTATCCTGTTACATAAACACGAAGTCTATAGAAATTCACCAAGACAAAAATAGAAGAGCAGGAAATTTGAAACACACTCTTGCCAGCCTTCACTAAGAGTCTTCTGTGGCTATGAAGGACAAAGAATTGATTCTTCTGCTGCCCGCTCCCCGGGGGTGCCGCAGAGAGCAAAAATGAGTGCAGAGCACGGGTGCCCACCCCTCGGTTCTCGGTTCTCGTAGCGGCCTCACGAGGCAGGTGCGGGTCTCTGGCATAGAACCGCCTGGAATGGTGGCAACTCTCAGGGGCTCCACGTTCCCTCACTGCAGCGCACCCTGGCTTCTGCCCACCGGGAACGAAACTGCTCTCCCAAACGGCACCATCACCTCCAACGGCCACACCCAATGGCCACCCCCTGCCCTCTTCCTGTGGGGGCTCTCGACACAGCTGCCAAGTTTCTCTCGGAAGAACCTGACTTCTGATCTGCACTCACTTACCTCTTCCTCCATTTACTATTTTTAAGGTAGGTGTCTGACCTTTTTTTTTTTTTTTTTCCTTTTCTCTCCCTGACTGATGTCACTTACACCCGAAGACATCTCCAGCTCTGAGCTCCTTCTCAGGGCATCCTCAACTTCCACAGCTTGCCGGACACCTTCACTCGCACAATCTGCAGGGACTGTTTTAAAACCAGCTCAGTACTCACTTCCCCAAATTAGCTCCTCCTGTGTTGCTCCCATGATTAAAGACATAATCTCCCCCAAGGATGAGACTCCTTACTTTCCTCATTCCACGTTCGGTCAGGTCTTGCGGATTCCTTCTCCAAAGGGTTTCTGGGGTCGGGGTCAACTACCACTGTCTGTTCAGTGCCTTCCCGTCTTCCTCCTGAGCCATGAAGAGCCTCCTAATTGCTCTGCCTTCACACTTTGTCCCCCTCCTACGCACCCTTCACTGCCACCAGAGTTAGTTTTCTGAAACACAGGGGACAAGCAAGTCACTCCCCTATCTAAACCCCTTTCCTAGCACCTGCAGGATAAAGGGCAGGACATCCAAGAGTGCCATCCGGTCTCACCCACCCCTCAGCCTTGTCCTTCCACAGCGCAACAAGAGTCTCACCAAATAAACCACATTCTCCAAAAACGCTCTGTACTTTCACACATCACTGCAAAGAAAGACCGCCGCTGTATTTCTCTGCTAAGCAGATTCCTGTGGGCCCATTTCAATCGTTAACTTGTCCGTAAAGTCTTACCTCACCACTCCCTTGTAGAACAGCCACTTCCTCTTTGGAGTTCCTCAGAACCTTGCCCACACCCTGAGCTATCCTACTGGGAATCGGCTGTCTACATGTGCTTCTACAATGCGGCATTACAGCTGCTTTTCATCTCTGTATCTTCGAGGCTGAGCAACAAGCATAAGAAATGTCTGCTGAATGAATAAGTGAGTCAACGGTCTTCCCGCAACTAAAGCTAATGCCCAATCACTCATCTTTTAACTCGTTTCAATGCCCTTGCAGTATAAGCAGAAATAGCTTAGAAATTATACCCGGATACAATGGGAAACTACAACTGTCTCTGAAATGAATTTCTGGGTGGAATATCCCTATTCCTTAACAGCACTAATTTACTGTTTACTAATAATAGAAAACTCTGCCTGTTAGTCTGTGCACAATCATTCCTTGGTCAATCCCATTTCAAATGTGCCTGAGGGATACAGAATCCTCTGATTCTGATCTATAGCAATTTTGAGACTTGTGGGAACAAAAATGGTCATATTGGCAGGGACACTGAATACTCTGAACTGAAATTATGTGTAAGGAGCACAAGAAATCCTGACGTTCGGTAAATAAAATTCCTTGCTATACTTAATAAACACTTAATCCCTACTGGGTCACAAAAAGTCAGTTTAACAAAAAAGATGAATGGGAATGTTCACTTACTGTTTCTAGTAACAAAATTTAAACTCACTGAAGTATACCTAAATACAACCTTCTTAAAGCACAACGCCGAACTTTCTCTGATTACTCTCTGTAGTGAAAGACACAGTATCTTGGCGACCAGTGACAGCACTGCGTGGGTGCTCTTTCCTTTCATGCCACCGGTCTCTTATTAACACTACCTCTTGCCACTTACCAATGTCCTCCACCCCAGAATTTTCACATAACAGTATTTCTTGGTCAGTACTAGAAAGCTTCAGATGCTAAGGCTGTGTTAGTAAATTGATAACATTCACAACAAGAATGCCTTAGTTTATAACCAGAAGATACATGTGAAAAAGGTAAACTGGTTACACTGTTTGGCTTTGACACCCCGTGCAGGCTCACCCAGAATCTCCAGGCCAAGGTTTTCAGTATAGAGAAAATACTGTTTCACTGCACCCTACCCCAAGTTACTTTTCCCCAGTATATAAGAAACAAAACACATACTTGTTGAGACTTAATGGTAATGAAGCAAGTGAATCCAGGCACAAATTTTTAAGGAACGCCTGCTGAAGGCAACGCACTGCGCGGCTCTAGTACAAGAAGTGAAATACCCATTGCTATAGAATACTGATATAGACAAACTATTGGAAACTGATATACAAGTTGTAGCAGCAGCAGATGTTTTGAGGCAAAGATTTATAAATCTGAAATTTTCCTCTCCTGTTCAAATTTTGGAAATGTACTCATTCCTTCATAGTAATCTTAATAATTAAAGAGTAAATCAAAAATTTAACCAATGATCTTTCAGTCTCAAGAACAAAGTCTTAGGGACTCATTTTATAAAGATTTCCCAGATAATAATATAGCATCACCCCAAACTCAGACTGTCAAGCATGGGTATTATACACTTACAACAAGTAGGTAGCAATTTGGTGAGCATCATACACCCAAGTTTCTCTGTCTCCTTTCTTCTCTTCACCTTGAGTCAGACAATTTATGCAATTACGCTTTCTTCCCAACAGTCTATTGTCTCTATACTGTATTTTCTAAACCTTGGGATACAGCTTCAAAATTTATGAAATCTGCTAAAAAGGCACATAAAGAAAAAAAAAATTACCAACCACTTGATAAAGGGACGTAACTAAAACACCAAGAGCAGCAAACACCATTCCAAGGAAATTAAACTTCACATCGTAATAAGAATTTAGGATTACACCTACAGTTATAGGAATCTGTAAAGAAAAAGAGGTAAATGTTGTTCAGATTAAATTCATGAGACACAAGTTTAGTATTCCTTTCACGTTGTCTTACAAAGTTAGTCATAAAAGCATCACGGGGAAACGATGAACCTCTATAATTTTTTTTCCATCTGAAAAACGGTTAAACCGATTTCCTCAAAGTGAAATCTGTTAATTTATATTTACGTTCATATTTAATTCTATTTAAAATTCTAGGTAAGATAATGAGGCAATGCCCTGCAATCTGCAACAAAGGCATACAACGTGTATGCACACAGGAGTAAATGGATTCTCAAGACTAGTGTCTAAACAACATATAAGCATGAACATATAGCAAAAGCATTAAGAATTTAAAAACTGTAAGTCATTAAGTGCGAAAATTATCTTCTCCTTTTATTTAAGGACACAGAAACCTCTGCAGCATGTCACTGCAAACATATTTGGAGACATAATTTTATGCAGAACCCTTAACGTCAATTCATACAGGGTTCGATACCTCTGGGTCGAAGGAGGGCCATTTTTCAGTTTGAGATTTTGCAGATATTCTGATACACTGAATTGCATAATGAAACCCAGTGTCCTTTTCTTACCAATCACAGCATTTAAGGATTTCCACCAAACAGCAGTTATTAAAGCTCACACAGGCACACTCTTCTGGGCCAAGAGCCCAAGAGAGTGCCAAGATGACTTTTTTCACCTCTCCCAAATAAGCCTGAAGTTCACAAGCTCACAGATGACTCATCTGTGCATTTCAAGATGACTGGAAAGAGCTTGGCGCAAGGTTAAACATTCAAATTTCCCGGGGAGAAAGACGGTCCAGGAGGAGGTGAGTTGTTAAAAGGTGCGCCTTGCGAAGCTGAAGCTACTCACCAGCGTGAGCTGTATTTTGGTAGAGAAGGTCTTCTTGTAGCAGAGGGTCTGGATGACTATGATGACCGGCGTGGTCATGGCCTTGGCCAGCTGATAGGTACCTATGGTGTTGTTCTGCAAAGAGAGATTAGTGAAGACCACGAAACCACAGAAGCTGAGGGCCAGGAGGAGGAGTTTGGAAGGCGGCAGACTCTTGGGGGCAAAGATGTCCAGTTTCTGGCAGATGTACAAGCCCAGCCAGGTGACCACGAAGTGCACCAGGGTCAGGCTCATGTTAGGGAAGCCGTGATGCACATAGATCCATTTGTTGAGGAACACGATGCAGATGGACACCAGCAGGTTGAGCAGGAGCCCAGCGGCAATGCGCCCGTTGCCTCGCATTCGGTCCGCAAGCGATGCCATAACCACGGCCGAGCCGGGGCCCTTAAGCCCCCGAGAGGGATGCCCAGTCTGTCTCCGGCTGCTCCTCCCCTCCTCCGCCGCCTCCCCGTCCTCGCCCGCTTCACAGTCCGACCTGGGAGAGGCATGCACTCTCTGCGTCCCTGGTGAGCAGCAGCCTCAGCCACACACACACACACGCCCCGCCGCCGCCGCCGCCCATTCAGCTGGGGAGGACGCGGCAGCACGTCGCGCGCGCTCCGCCCACCTCCGCTCTCGACCACGTGGCTCGGGGCTCTGGTGCTTCCGTCCCCGAGCTGTGGGCGGTGCAGTCTGTATCCTGCGCAGGCGCGTTGCACTCTGCGTGAGGGAAAACTGCGTTCAGGCACCTACGTGTAACCTCGACTCTAGTTGGGTGAATCTGAGCCCCTTCTCTGAGTGTTGGACATTTCCCGTGTGTCATTTGACTTACTTGCTAGACAGCTGCTCTCAGGCTAGTGGAGCGCAGACGCTGTCGGCCAGTTTTATGTATGACAGGTGCTGAGCAAATGTAGTTATGGCCAGAGAGGGGAATGCATATTTTTTAAACATTTTATTTTAAAAATCAAAACATACAAAAGAGTAGACAGTATGATGGACTCTCATATACTCCTTATGTTTAGAACACTATTCAGATTTTCTTCTTTTTGAATCAATGTTTGGCCTTTTAGTTGTTCTAGAAAACCGTCCGTTTAACTTAAATGTCCTGATATGCTTAGAGCTGTATACAGTAATCTAACATATTTGAAATTTATTTTATCTGTTGTGCTATCGCTTATTCTAAAAGCTATGCATTGGGGTTTTCTTTGTCCCTTGGTTAGCCTTGCCAGTAATTTGTCTATTTTATTGGCCTTTTCAAAAATTAGTTCCGGGGCGTCTGCGTGGCTCAGTGTGTTAAGCTTCCACTTGTGCTCATGGGTGGTTCATGGATTCAGCTACACATCAGGCTGTATGCTGGCAGCCCAGAGCCTGGAGCCTGCTTGCGATTCTGTGTCTCCCTTTCTCTCTGTCCCTACACATTCTCATGCTCTGTTTCTCTTTCTCTCAAGAATAAACATGAAAAAATTGTTAAGTAAAAGATTAGTTCTACTGAATTTCGTTCAAGTTATTACTTTTTTCTTCTTCCCCACTAAAGTCTTGAATACAATGTTCAGTTCTTTAAAAAAATAAAAGGACTTAAGAGCATACTGTATACACTGTATATTAGCCAACTTGACAATAAATTATATTACAAATTTTAAAAAAGTAAAAGGACTTAAGGCTATGAGTTTCTACCCTGGGAAGAGCTTTGTTCACAATCCTGGGCAGAGTATAATATTCTCAGTCTTTAATTCTTAAGTAGTCTGATTAACAGTTTTAATTTCCTCTTTGGTGTAAGAATTATGCAAATATTGAACACCTGCTTTGTGCCAGGCACTAATTTTGACACTTGGAAGTTAGTGGCGAGTAAGCCCAGTTCAAACCCTCTCTTATATAACTTACTGAGAGAACGCTGGTATCAAACAATGACAAACTATGATAACAATATTCCAAAGTAACAAAATATGGTCCTGTGAATGTATAATAAGAGAATCAGATCAAAACTTGGGGAGAGGGAGGTGATCAAGGGTTTCCTCAAGGAAATGACTCAAGATTTGAGAATGAGTAGAAGTTAATTAGGCAAAGCCTAAAGTCTAACATGGTTTTCCTTATAAGTTTTTCTTCCTATCAGTCTACCAAATTCTACCGACTCTCACCATACTGAGTGCCTTTCCCGTTGTATGTTTATATTGCCATCCTCTGGTCCAGTTTGGACCTACAGAACTGTCTGATCAATGACTTACAATGTTTACCCTCACCGGCTCCCCAATTAAGAGCTGTGAGACCCTGTCTTCATTTAGTCTACTCAATTCATTGTCTCCTTATGGTTCTAGATTTGGACAGATAATCTTAGAATGGATGATAAATTATCTTTTTATCATTCATCTATTTCTCTCGCAATATTTGAAAATAGTTACAGTATGAACTCTGAAATTTGGGTTAGGATATAGTATCTAGTGGGTTCCAATTGTCTGTTGGGTTAGGGTTACTAATCCTGTCATTCAAGACCTCATTCAGTTTTCTACTGCCCTGGAACTTGCCCTTCTCCAGACTGATTTAATTGGCTAAGAGGCTCTCTCTACCTCCTTCACCAAAGAACAGGAGTCCTAATCCTTACTTGTCCTGAAATGTGATTATTATCCTTATTTCTCATCTACAGATGTTAAAAACAGAGGTTCGTGGCTGTTACCTTGCAGCTAGAATGGAAAGAGAGTAAGATTCCAACGCAAATTTCTCTGGCTCTGGGGCCACTTCCCCTCCTTTTTATTGTGGAGAATTTCAAACTTGTGCAACGTTAAAATAGTATTGTGAACCCTGCTGTACCCGTCACCTGGTTTCACCAACTGGCATTTTCATTTGCACCTACTCGTCACTCCTCCTTTTCATTTATTTATTTATTTATTTATTCATTCATTCATTCATTCATTTTTGAGAGCGAGAGATAGGGTTTGAGCAGGAGAGGTGCAGAGAGAGGGGGACATAGAATTCGAAGCAGGCTCCAGGCTCTGAGCTGTCAGCATAATGCCCGATGCAGGGGGCTTGAATCCATGAGCCATGAGATCATGCATGACCTGAGCCAATGTCAGATGCTTAACCGACTGAGCCACCCAGGTGCCCCTTCACTCCTCCATCTGATCTTTCAAAAGCAAATTTACATTCATTCAAATGCAAGAAACTGTACATTTTTTTATTTAAAAGTTTTTTTTTTTTTTTAAGATTTATTTATTTTTGAGAGAGACAGAGTGTGAGCAGGGAAGGGGCAGAGAGAGAGGGAGACAGAGAATTTGAGGCAGGCTCCAGACTCTGAGCTGGCAGCACAGAGCCCAACATGGGGCTTGAATTTGTGAACCACAAGATCAGGACCTGACAGAAGTTGGATGCTCAACCGACTGAGCCATCCAGGGGCCTCTAACTGTCCAATTTTTGATAAGTGGATGCAGCTATGTAACCCACACCCCTGTCAAGATACAGTACATTCCATCACCTCATAAAATTGCCTAGAAAATCCCCAGTCCCCAAGACGCAAGAGGAAACCACTGTTCTCATTTTTCCTTCACCATAGTTCTGTTCTAGAACTTCATATAAATGGATCATACAGCATGTACTTTTTGTATGTAGGGGTTTTTTTAAATTCAATTTTTGTTTTTTTGTTTTCTTTTTTGGGAGAGCACAAGCAGGGATGGGGACAGAGGATCCAAAGCGGGTTCCGTGCTGAAGGGCTGACAGCAGTGAGTCTGATGTGGGTCTTGAACTCACAAACCTCGAGATCATGACCTGAGCTGAAGCTGGACACTCAACCGACTGAGCCACCCAGGTGCCCCTATACCTAGGGTTTTTCTTTTCTTTTTAAGTTTATTAATTTGGGGCACCTGGGTGGCTCAGCCAAACATCAGACTCTTAATTTCAGCTCAGGTCATGATCTCACGGCTTGTGAGTTTGAGCCCCATGTCAGGCACACTGCAGAGCCCACTTGTGATTCTCTCTCTCCCTCTCTCTCTGCCCCTCCCCTGCTTGCTCTCTCTCTAAGTAAATACTTAAAGTATTTATTTATTTAGTAATCTCTACCCTCAACATAGGGTTCAAACACACAACCTTTCAATTAAGAGTCTCATGCTCTTCTGATTGAGCCAGCCAGGTGCCCCTAGGTTCTTCTGTTGCTAAGTAGTTGCTCTTTCCTTTTTATCTTGCTGAGTAGTATTGTTTTGTATGAATATAACACAATTTGTCAAGTCATCCTGTTGATGAGCATTTGAGTCTTTTCCAGTTTGGGCCTATTGTAAATAAAGCTCTGGGTTGTAGAGAATTTGTTTTCGTTTCTCTTGGATAAATATAAAGGAGTGAAATTTCTAGGTTAAAGGATAGGTGATTATAAGAAAGTCAAAACTTTCCCCAAAGACCGTACCATTTTATATTCCCCCAGCAATATGTCCCAGCTGCTCCACAATTCCGCAAACATGTGGTGGTGTCAGTCTTTTTTGATTTTAGCCATTTTGACAGATGTGTGGTGATATCTCATTGTGGTTTTCATTTGCATTCCCCACTGGTTTGAGCACTTTTTCATGGGCTTATTGGTTATGCATATTATCTTCCTTTATGAATCATCTATTCTCTTGCCCACTTTTTGCTTTACTGAGGTGTAAGAGTTCTTTATATATTCTGAATGTGAGTTTTTCCTGACCAAAGATCTGATATATTTTTGCAAATATTTTCTCCTAGTCCGTGTCTACCTTATTTATTTTCAGAAGTGTCTTTGATGAGCAGTTTTGTATTTTGATGAAGTCTAAAGACTCCATCTTTTCCTTTGTTATGCTTATTGCTTACTGTCAACAGGAAATCTTTTTTTTCTTGTAATCTTTGCCTATCTGCTGATCATAAAGATATTCCTTTTCTTCAAAGTTTAGTTTTAGCTTTTATATTGAACTTTATAATCCATCTCTAATTAATTTTTGTTAATGGTATAAAGTGGGGGTCACAGTTCATTTCTTTTCCATATGGATATTCAGGTGACCTGTCATTAACTCCACCCAAATCTTTTATTTTGAAGATTTTTAAACCTACATAAAAGTTGATTAGTATAATAAACACTCCTGTGCCCTTCACATAGAGTCACTAGTTACTATTTTGACATAATTATCTGTGTAGACTTTTATTTTAGAGCTAAGCCATTTTAAAGTAAAGTGCAGACTTCGTGACCTTTCATCTCTAAATAGTTAAGTGTGTATCTCTTAAGAATAAAGATACTCTCCTATCTGGCCCCAATACAATGATCACACCTAAGAAAATTAATTCAATCATATCAACTAATATACAAACTATTTTCTTGCTGAAATACTAATAAGAATTGTGTTAAATCTGTTTATCAGTTTGGGGAGTGTGGCATCTTTACTATGTTGAGTCTTCCATTTAATGAACATGATATGTCTTTACATTTATTTTGCTCTTCATTGGGTTTCCTTTATCAGTATTTTGTAGTTTTTAGCATACAAATCTTGTACATAATTTGTTAAGATTCAGATGTTCAAGTCTGTTCATACTGCTCTATCTCAATTTTTAAAATTTATTTATTTTGAGAGAGAGAGAGAGAGACA